TTGAATTTTTGGGAGTGATTGCATTGGAAGGAGATTGGGAGATGGGGGCATAGGGTTATTGATTTTTTCAACAATCCCTAAAGTTAATTGCAAGGAAACTGGAAAGCCACAAGGAGAAATAAGTGGGCTATGCAGATTACAAAGGCCCGATCGGTTCAAGGAAATATAGGCCAGTGCGTTAACTAAAAATCGACTATTCAACAGGTTTGAAGCGGTTTAATTGTCCGACAATAAATATATGTGACTCGGATCGGACTTGGGTACTCTCAACGGTCTTCAAACCGAACCAATCGGTCCGATCCAGATTTTATAACACTGCCTCTTTGTCATTCCTACCAGTAATATGAGAAGACTTAGTAGAGAAGTTCAATTAAGCTATTTGTACAATCCTTTTTGATAATCATTATTGACGCCTTGATGTTGTCAAATTTTGAATGTTGATTTAAAAAAATAGTTTTTAACAATTTTTAAAATGAATTAAGCTGATGCTACTGAATATGAAGTTATCAATTAAGATTGCACAAATAGTATGATTCGAAGAAATTTAGGTGACATTCTAATTGGTAACTAGTCCAAAAGCAATGAATTAAGCTGAATTGTCAGAAAAAAATTGCCCACTCGATTGACCTATACTCGCATGCTCGTGAGACCAACGTGAATAAAACATGCCAAAACAATCGCCCCCCCACCACCTTATTGTGAGTGTGCTACCGGGGCCCTACCTATGAGACTGTCCACCATTGTCATTCCTACCAGTAATATGAGAAGACTTAGTCGAGAAGTTCAGTTAAGCTATTTGTACAATCCTTATTGATAATCATTATTGACACCTTGATGTTGTCAAAATTCGAACAATTAATTTTAAAAATAATTTTTAACAATTTTTAAAATGGATTAATGTGATGCTATCGAGTGTAAAGATATCAACCAAATTTAGGTGACAGTCTAATTGGTAAATAGTCCAAAAACAATGAATTAAGATGAATTGTCAGAAAAATTTGCCCACACCTACACCCACATGCGCACGAGACTTAAAAAATGCCAAAAAATCTCCCCCTACCCTACTATTGTGAGACAGGGCCCTCCTAGCAGTATAGTATGATTGAAAAACAATAATGACCATGGACAACAAGCAGCTCCACTTGTCGTCGTATCGCCCTTGGCTGTACATGGCCCATGGCGAAAACCTATCCAAAAATAATTAAACCAAAGGACACCCTCTCCCGAAATCATCACTGAAAATTGCAGACATTTACTTCAAGGTGGCTCTGACTTTAATAAATAGTACTATATTCATAATTGCAAAACGATTATTTTCCTTGTTTTAAAATATTTTCTAACTACATTTTTTAATTCATCAACTTCATGCAGTAGTAGGATTTAATTCGTCTGCTCTAATTTCTGCCCTCATTCAGTGGCGCTTCAATGTTCTTACAACAAAACTTACGGGTGATGAAATTTGATGTTAGTTATTTCATTTCAAATTAGTCACTTAGCCTCTGTTTGGTACATATTATTTTTGGTCAAATAGAACAAATTCGACCGTTGCAATAGACAAAGCCCGACAAAAGGTTCAATCCTACAGTGCCAATTTTGACAATTTCTGAATTGGACTTCCCCGCTATACGCTCAGAGCTAAGCGAACCGAACGAAC